ATTTCATTGTCAAATCTGAAGCTTAATTTTGCTGGATACAGTATTCTTGGTTGGAATCCATTATTTTTCAGCGTTTGAAATACGTTGTTCCAGGATCTTCTCGCTTTCAAAGTCTGTGATGAAAAATCAGCCATTAACCTAATTGGTTTACCCCTGAATGTAATCTGCCTCCTTTCTCGCATAGCTTTTGATATTCTCTCCTTGTTCTGTATATTGGCTATCTTCATAATTATATGTCTTGGAGTTGGTCTATTACGGTTTTGAATGTTTGGGGTCCTGTAGGCTTCCAGGATTTGGCAATCCATTCCATCTTTCATATCTGGGAAGTTTTCTAGGATTATTTCATTCAGTAGATTGTTCATTCCTTTGGTTTGAACCTCTATGCCTTCTTTTATTCCAATGACTCTCAATTTTGGTTTTTTTATGACATCCCATATCTCTTGCATGAATTGCTCCTGATTTTTTAACATCCTTTCTGCTTTGAATATATTCTTTTCAAGTTGATAAACTTTGTCTTCATTATCTGATGTTCTGACTTCTATTTGATCTAGTCTATTTGTAATATTCTCGTTTGAGTTTTTAATTTGGTTTATGGTTTCCTGCATTTCTAGGATTACTGTTTGATTTTTGTTTTTAGGATGTCTATCTCCTGGAAGAGTTTCTTCTTTGCAATTTGAATTTGCTTATGCAATTCATTTTCAAAGTATTTTTGCATTGTTTCAACTTGCTGTCTCATGACTTCTCTAAGATTCCATTCCTTCTGAGTCAGGTATGCCTTGAGTTCTTTCTCTGTCCATGTTTCTGATGCCTCTAGGTTCTCCTGTAGATTTAGATTGTCTTTCATTGTTTGTAATCCTTTTTTTCCCTTGTTTTTTCATGTTGTTCACGTTACTTTCCAACTCTGTTTAACTGCTGTGTTTCTGTTTTCTCCTATAAATTTGTTTTGGTTTTGTATATCTCTGTGGTCTCTCCTTTGTAGTGGGAGGCTATGGCTAGAAATGTTGGGCTTTATTGTATTTTAAAGCTGATTCATTCAATTCATAAAAAGCTTCCGAATTCTGTATGCATATAGTGATCTGTTGTTTGGTCTTAGGACTTTATGTTTAGGTTAGGATGTTATGAGGGTTAGTATGTCTTGGCTACTTTGGAAGATTGCTCTACTGAAGGGGGATATTAATAGGTGATTGGATCAGGGTGTTTGGTAGTAGCTAGGTATTTAGGAGCCCTATAGACAGCCTCGAAACATTCACCTATTTGCATTTAGACAATTACACTTAATGGAAGACGTAATGCTAGGGATGAAAGTTGGGGAGTAGGGGAAGGAAGGTGCTCTTAAAAAGAAAGAAGGAGAGAGAGAGATAGATTAGAGGAGAATGGAAAGAACAATAGAACTTGAAATGGGAAATAAAGAAGGAAAAGGGGAGAAAAGAAAAAAGAGAGGAAAAAAAATTGAAGTCTTAGAGATCCATTTTCTTCTCTTCCAGTAGGCGGAGCTGTGCCCTCCAAGCGGAGCTTCTGCCCTCTATGTGCCGACAGCAATCCCTGTAAGGCGGCTCCTGGGAGTCTCTCAATCCTGTTAGTCCAGAGCCATTTCACTTCTCCAGCCCCTCCCCCCCTTCCTCCTGCCAGCCAGCCAGCTGGAGGCGGTTCCCCAAGGATCTGGTTACACTTGCAGCCCCACAGCCCCACCGCGTGTCCCGAACGACTGAGCACTCTCTCTGTCATTCATCTAAGCCCCAGTGCTGTGGAGCGGTGATCTGGGATCCAACAGTTTAATTTTTCCGGACCCCTTTGGTGGGCATGCCCCCGGAAACTGGCAGCTAAGACCTTGGGTGTCACCGCTGGTGGTAAGGGGAGTTGGGGATTGGGAATCCCCTCTGTTTCCCTACAGACACACCCCTGGAGAGATTCCGGAGGTTTCCCGGCTGCTTGTATCTGGAGGAGGTAGGAGTCACACACCTGCTAAAGTGGATTTCCCTGGGAAGGAATTCCATTGGCCAAACTTCGGTGACGTCACCTCTCTGTCATGGCGGGCCCCAGGCTCCTTGCTGGAGTGTCAGATGGGAGGGGTGGGACTGGTCTGTCTCTGGTTGGTTTCAGTTCCTGGTTTGCTATTTCATGAAGGCTTGGCTAGAGACCTCTTCCTAGAGTCCCTGCGCCTCTCCTGCTGAGCTGCGCCTCGGAGGCTAGTCGCCCAGTCAAGGGGGCTGCGGGAGGGCAGCCAATGATCGCCAAGTCGCTCGGGCAGTGGCTGGCGGGTCTGGACCTCTGCGCCGCATGGAGGAGATTCACTTGTCTGGGGCAAACTGTCACCTCCAAAAATCCTACTAATTCCTGGCCGGTCTCTCTTCAGTGGAATTTTGCTAGGAGTTTCTCAGCAGGTAGAATCTAAGCATATCAATGCGTCTCTCTGACCCCATTATTGGGGAGGTACTGAAAGCGCTGCCTCCCCGCCCGCCGCCATGTTGGATCTCCTCAAAATAATGTTTTTCCAGGATGAAATGGAATTTTAAGTGTGGGTAAAGCTTCGGGGATGACAGGCCTAGCCAGTAGGTGGAATTTTCAGGATATGACTTAAGAAATTTTAATTTTGTTTCTAACCGAGTTTTTCGGTTCAAGATCGAACCTTGAACTATAACAGTTGCTCAGTTGTGATAAGTGGCTGTATGATAAATAAGGGCAGAATATGACCAAAAATTTATCCACAAAGGGAAGACAATGTAGAAGAAAAATCTGGGGAGATGTTAAATGCAGAAAGCACACCAAGCAATGACACAAAAGAGTCAAAGGAAAGACTTCAACAAAATGACCAAAATCTGAGTTCAAGAAATCTTAAGGCAAAAAAGATCCTTGTTTTGACACCAATGGTCTGATCAGTCATCTTCAAATTGATCATTTCAGTAGGAAGGCTGGGAGGGGGGAGAAACCCAGTTACAAAGGATGGCCCACAAGCAGAAGATGAAGTAAGGATAGAAAACATATATTCTTTTGGAAATTTGACAGAGTGGATAGATAAAACAGTACATTACAAGACAGCAGAATCCATAAAAAAGACTACGTTGACTTTTTTTTTTTTAGTTGTATGTGGACACAATACCTTCATTTTATTTATTTATATGTGGTGCTGAGGATTGAACCCTGTGCCTCACACATGCTAAGTGAGCATGCTACCATGGAGCTACTATCCCAACCCCTATGTTGACTTTTTGAATGGAAGAACTTAGACAGACAAATAAGGGGAAAAAATAAATCAATGGGCAAAAAGAGAAGGGATGTACAAAAGAGATGAAAGAGCAAAGTTTCCTACAAAATAGGAGTGAAAAAAAATAAGTAATGATCTCAGAAAGTAGAACATTTACATGGGACATGTAAAAAGATTTAACCTGTGTAATCACATGAAAATAGGAGGAAAAAACTCGGTTAGAAACAAAATTTAAAGAATTATTGGCCAGAATTTTCCAAAGCTGATAGAAGACATCGAGCCATAAATTCTAAAAGTTCTAAAAAGTTCAAGAAGGATGAATACAACAAAAACCACACCTAAGCACATCTCACTATTAAACACCAAAGCAGGGCATGACTTTCAAAGGGGAACAAGATTGACAACTGACTTCTCAATGGATATGGTAGAAGAAGAAGATGATGAAATGACATATTTTAAAGTGCTGACACAAAATAACTGTTAACCTAGACGTCTACACCTAACCAGAGAAAATATCCTTCCAAGATGGTTAACATGAGATGCTTAGAGAAAAATAATGACTAAAATGATTTTCTTACAGCAGATCCACATTAAAAGAACATTGCAGAGTGTTTTTGTTTTCTGATTTCTGGGGAGTTTGGTGGTTTTGTCTTTATTTAATGTCAGAAGGAAAATTATACCAGATGCAAGTATAGTCATGTAAAAAGGAATGAAGAGCATCAGAGAACCTGACTATGAGGACAAATCTATGCAAAAACACTCACTGTTTAAACAATAGTAATAATATCTTGTGGGGTTCAAAATATATGTAGTATTAAAATATGAGGTAACAATATACAAAAGACAGGAGGAAAGAAAAAGAAGTTCCAGGGAGCAGAAGAAGTGCTATTGCATGACAGATGCTAATGTTAAGCTTGAATGTAGTTATCTCTGGGGTATCCACAAAAAGAATCTTTAGAAAGAATATTTAACAAGCTAATAAAGAAGAACCATGAAAGATAGAAAGTTGATAAATACATGAACATAATACTTATGTAAGGCATGTAGAGTCAACTGACATTAACAATTGACCAATTCTTAGACTCACAGACTCTTGGAACTGGAAAGGCTCTGGAAATCACCTTGTCCACAATGAGGGTTTTCATGTATGGAGAAGTTAAGCATCTATTTCAAGGTCACCTAATTGCAACAGTGCCATGATTGGTATCCCCCCTTCCTAATATTTCTTCCCTATTGTTCATTAAGCAACAAAATTAATGCAAAGAAAAGATATAAAGAAAAGTATTTGAGACTTAAGGACCACTCTTTAAGAAACATTATCTTAAAACTCACAAGTATTTATTTAAGTCATCAAACAGCTTTACTTACTACTAAGAGAAATAATATTTTAAGTGCAAGCATAAGAGACATAGGTAAATTGAAAAGTGGATCCCCCCAACCCAGTAAGACAAACACTACAATACGTTTTTGCAATTGAAGAAGGTTTTCTTCCACACTTCAGACAGTCCACTATTGATCTGTGTTAAACGTTGATAAAAATTACCAAATTGCTTCTTTGGTTTAAAGGAAAAAAATTTTAGTATTCTTCCAAATATTTGATCACTGCAAATTAGAGATATGAGAATAAGAGTTATGATCCTTTCCCTGCTACATACCTGAAATCCTAGCACATCTCAAAATTAACAGGGCCTACATTCCAAATGGAACTCTGGCATGAGGTTGACTTAATGTCAGATCTAAAAAAGCCCTTGGAAGAAGGGCTTAGAAGTAGAGTCTCAGAAGGATCCAGCCAGTACTTAGAAATCTGAGAACTGATCAAAAATCCAGCTCACTTGTGCAGGCATTCAAGGGTACTTAGATATCATTTGCACCTGTGGTCACTGGCCTCCAAGAGAACAAAGATTTCAGTTGAAAATATACAATATGGTATATTGTCAGAGTGGCATTCTTGAGGGCCATTTCTTAGAATGATGATTTTAGAACATGATAGAATCTCCCGGGCAACTGTTACAAATGGAAGGCCATACTGTACACTCAGTTTTGTTGTGAACCTAAAACTCTTCTAAAAATGAAAGTCCCTTTTACAAATAATGGAGGGTCATTTCCTGGGTCCAAATGGTATGAGCAAGAAGAGGGTGGCATCCTTCTGGTTTGGGAAGTCTCACAAAACAACTGTGTTCCTGTAGCTGTGGCTTGAGCACTTACTACCTTTACATGTCTACTTGGGCCAAAGTATATACCAGGTTGAGGTCAAGAGTGAGTAACTGGAGGGCTAAGACTGCAAGCTAAACAGAACAGATGGATGAGGCTCCTGATGATCTGCCACAATCACTCCCAAAAACTGCACCTAAGCCCAAGGATGCACCTTTGTAATATCTAATTCACCTTCATTTCCAATAGTAGTCAGACTAAACATCATGGTTTGCAAAAATCTCCCTGGCAGTTTCAGTGCACTCATAGCTATTGCGTCTATGGAACATTTTTGTTGTTTGAAATGAGACTGTTCAGTACCAAAGAACTGATTTCACAGTGTTTTTTATAATGTCGGGTACCTAGATTACACCCCTCCCAGCCCCAGGGTTCTCCTTCAACACCCTCTCCAGTGAAGCTCAGAATTTGCATTTTAACTAAACCAAATTTTATAAAGACCCAAGAGAATTCTGGTTTGTTTGCATGAAAAGCAAATGGAAACTTTAAAGCCCATGTTGGAAGGAAGGAAAAGAAACAGACTGAAAATATGTGTTATTTAATCAACAGACAAAATAGAGATACAGGGGAAATAACATTCACAATCAATATGAGTGTTTTTCTGCTTTAGTCACAGAAAAGGAAAAGCATAAACTTTAGGGTTTAATACTCTCTTAGTTTTAAAGGAAGCAAAGAAGAAAGCCCAGTTTCCATTCTAACATAAAAGCTAAAATTTAAAAAAAAAAAAAAAAAAAAAAAAACACCTAGACATGACCCAGTTCAAAAGACTCCCGAGAAGGCTCCCAGTCAGCAGAGATGAATTACACCGTAGACAAGGAAATATATGTGCATTATTAATAAAGAGCCATTTAATTTAGTGTGGAATTTAGGTTCTTGCCTAACTTGATTTCATTTTTCTTCTAGTACGGGGAACTGTAGCCACTAAGTGTATAATGGCTTGAACAGAAAGCGTGACATTTTAACTTCACATTGTTTCCACTAGTCCTATTTACATCAGAAATTCAGCCCCACCTCCTCATAATCCTTTTCCAGAGCTGCCAGATCTTCCCTGGCTTCTGAGAACTCCCCTTGTTCCATGCCTTCTGTGATGTACCAGTGTAGAAAAGCCTTCTTGGCATACATGAGGTCAAACTTGTAGTCGAGCCGGGCCCAGGCCTCTGCAATTGCTGTGGTGTTGCTCAACATGCAGACAGCTCGCTGGACCCTGGCCAGGTCCCCTCCGGGCATCACTGCAGGTGGCTGATGATTGATGCCCACCTTGAAACCAGTTGGACACCAATCTACAAACTGAACAGAGTTCCTCAACTTCATGGCTGCAATCGCTGCATTCACATCTCTAGGGACCACATCTCCTCGGTATAGTAAGCAGCAGGCCATGTACTTCCCAAGCTGAGGATCACACTTGACCATCTGGTTGGACAACTCAAAGCAAGCAGCAGTGATGTCGGGCACTGACGGATGCTCGTGGTAGGCTTTGTCAGCAGAGATGATGGGGGCAAAGGTTGTCATGGGGAAATGTATTCTTGGATAGGGTACTAGGTTGGTCTGGAATTCAATAAGGTCTATATTCAAGGGTCCTTCAAACCGAAGGGAAGCTGTAATGGCAGATACCACTTGGCTTATCAGCCTATTGATGCTTGCATAGGAGGGGCGTTCAACACCAAGTTTATGATGGCAGATGTCATAGATGGCCTCGTTATCCACCATGAAGGTACAGTCTGAGTGCTCCATGGTAGAATGGGTGGTGAGGATGGAGTTGTAAGGCTCCACTACAGCAGTGGAGATTCTAGGGGCTGGGTAGACAGAGAACTCCAGTTTAGTCTTCCTGCCATACTCTACAGAGAGCTGCTCCATTAGGAGAGAAGTAAATCCCGATCCAGTACCTCCTCCAAGGCTTCGGAAAATCAAAAATCCCTGAAGTCCACTGCACTGTTCTGCCTAGGAAAAGTGCATGCAATGTGAGAATGCAGCCAAATCGATGCAGAACCAAAGACACAATAAGTTCCCCAAAACAAAGTCCACAAGTTTTAGAGAGGCCTGGTTTACATTTTAACTCCACAGCAAACATTACTTTGGAATATACCTAAGTGGTACTTCTGGAGTAGGGGAAGCTCTTTTGAGTTTTACTACAGGATGAGCATCCCAAGTTCAAAATCCCAGACTTTTTTAGTGCTAATATGAAGCTACAAGAGGAAAATTCCATACTTGAACTCATGGTGACAGGTTATAGTCAAAACATAGGGACACTGAAAATATTATATGAAATTACCTTTAGACTATGTATATAAGGAGTATATTAAATATAAATGAACTTTGTGTTTAGACTTGGGTCCCATCCCTGGAATGTCTCATTATACATATGCAAAACACTCTAAAATCTGAAAAAAAAAATATCCAAAATACTTCTAGTCCCAAGCATTTCAGATTAGGGATTATCAACCTATATAAGCAAAGCATAGATATTCTACCTTCTTTCATTAGCCTCTATGAGTGAGTGTATTGGTAGATGATGAGAAGCAAGGCCTTTATCAGTAAAAAAGAAAGTGATGAGCAAAATATTTTAGTGAAATAATAATTGAAGTACCTATCTCTTCTAAACCTTCCATCTACACCGCTGATGTAGCAGACATCATGTTACCTAATGATTATGCCAAACCACCTACTCCAGACTTGGTCCTTATGGAAGAATGAACTGTCAGTAAATAGGGTAACCAATCTCTAGATGTAGGATCTGTGTCCTAAAAACTTCACAAGCAGTGGTGACTTGGAAAATTATGTGCTTCAGAGTGCTTCAAAAGTCTGTGATAGCAAGATAAACCCTGCATTAGTAGAAGCAAAGGTAGATGGGACCACCTAGTAAGTAAAAGCCTTGTGTCACCCTTCTTATGTAACAAGGTATAGTCATAACCAACATTGGGACCCTTTTCTAGGTCTCAGCACCCACAAAGACATCCAGATGAAAGGATCGGGTGGCCGTGGTGGTGCCTGTAGATAATGTTGGTGCATCCTACTGCAGACCACCAGTGCCCAGGTATGGCCTGATCAGAGGAGAGAAGAGTCACTTGCCAGCTTTCTGATCCTCTCCAGCACAAGGCTGATGATCTCGGAGCCCACAGAGTAGTGACCTCGTGCATAGTTGTTGGCAGCATCCTCCTTTCCACTCACAAGCTGCTCTGGGTGGAAGAGTGAACGGAACTTTCCTGTACGGATCCCATCTGCAGAGGGAAAGGTAGTCAGTGCACACGTGCAGTTCAACTGTCAGACCTTTGCTGATCCTCTCAGGGCTCCATACTGTCCCCACCCTTTCCCCCAGTGTTGTGGTAAAAGAACAAACATACTTCAGAACTAGGCTTTCTTTATCTAGACAAAGGTAGAATCTTTTACATAGAAGTTGAAAGTATATTTTCCACCATATACCCTGTATTAGTTTCTTAAGGCTGCCATAACAAATTTGTCTTAAAACAGCAAAAAAAAAAAATATTTTCTAACAGTTCAGGAAGCCAAAAGTTTAAAATCAAGTTGTAGGCAAGGTTGGTTCCTTCAGGAGCCTCTAGGGAGAATCCATTCTCTCTCTCTCTCCCTCCCTTCCCTCTCCCCTCCCTCACTCCTCTCTCTCCCAGCTTCTAGTGACTTTTAACAATCTTTGGGTGGTAGCTGCCTCTGTCATACATGTCCTCTGTGTCAATGTGCTCTCTTTTTTTCTTTGGAAGACACAATTCTTTGACTTTAGGGCCCACCCCAATCTAGCATGACCTCATCTTAACTAACTACATCTGCCAAGACTCCATTTACAAATATGGTCACATTCTGGGGTTCCAGGTAAATATTAGTTTAGAGGGGACACTATTCAATACTCCATGATGCTTTGGCATTTTGAGACAAGTATTCCTCTCTAAAAATCGCCAACTATGTGCTGAAATAACATGAAAAGTACACCAATCTAAATTATAATCGGTATGACTTATAAGAGATTTTAACCACAAAGTCACTCACACAAACTCAAATGATCCTGGGACTCAAATTCGGGAAGGATGAATGCACAAAACAGTTTATGAAAACCAAAAATATTCAGCTATCTTTCATTTTCCTCCATGAGTTTATCTGCATCTTCAATCTACTAACAATAGAAAATTCTACAAAGAAAGAATGTATTCTTGGATCAAGTCCTAGGTTGGTCTGGAATTCAGTGAGGCCAACATTGAAAGACATTTCTGATTCAGTCAGCTTTTTCACCACTGTGACCAAAAGAGTTGAAAAGAAAAATTTTAGAGAAAGAAACGTTTATGTGGGGCTCATGGTTTCATAGGTCTTAGGACATGGATGGCCAACTTCATTGCTCTGAGTCAGGGGTGAGGCAGACATCAGGACAGAAGGGTGTGGCAGAGAAAAGTAGCTTCATGGCACCAGGAAGCAGAGAGAGCTCTCACTCACTAGATACATAAACCCCAAAGGCATGACCCCTAGAGCCACACTCTAACTGCCTACAGTCACTACCCAGTTAATCCACTCAAGTGCACTAATGCACTGAGTTCATAACCCAATCTTTTGGCTTCTAAACCTTCTCTTTGTCTCACACATGAGATTTTGAGGGACACCTCAACTCTAAACAGTTTTCATAACTTCGTACCTTTACAACAGTCTTATAATTTTCTTCACACTATTTGTGTCATGATGTTGCACATAGCAGATGCCAAGTACATTAATGAATAAATCTTGTGATTAATCTTCAAATCATGGTTCTAAATCTGCCTTTCTCCCAAATCTAGACTATTCACTATTTGTATTTCCTATCAAATACAAATCAAACATCTTATTCATGGAGATCCCATGGTTTGCCTTCTGAGATTCCAACTGTAACAACTATTTACATTTTTTCGCCAATAGATTATGATACTTCTCTGCCATAAAAGAAACATTCCAGTTTAAGTCTCCTATAACTCCTCTACATGAACAGCTTCCTCAGGTTCAAGCCAAAACAATACTCCCAGGCATCTGAATGTGTCTGTGGTCATAATTTCTTTTACTCTCACCTATGAATTATTGAAATTCCCCTGCCCATTCTTCAGAACTCAGGTGGAATATCACTTTCTCCATGAAGTCTTTTCTAATCTCTTCCAAAAAGATAGGCTTTATGTCCTCATTTCCTTCTCATTAAGACACACACATAATACGCCCCTCCTCATCTCCCTGCTTTATTTTTCTCCAGACCACTTGTCATCATCGGAAAAACTGTTTATTAGGTTTTTCTTGGTCTGCACCTCACTTGAATGTTGTCTCCATGGAGACTGAGATACATACACCCACATACACATATCCAATGTCAGGAACAGTGCCTAGAATGACTGAGGCACTCTTACTTGTTGAATAAAACAATGAAAACCAATGCTTTCCCTCTAAATCCTGCAACACTTTTCTTCTGTCTCTTTGTCTGAACTGGCTCAGGACCTTCAAAATCATGCTCCCTGTGAGCTATGTCCTAGAGGACTAGGGAATTTCTTCCAATTGTTGCTGCTACCTTCCTATCTTTTGACTTTCTCAGCTTCTGATCCTGGGCCTTAATCCTTCTATTTGCCTGGCATTTTTGATTAACAAAAGCTAAAATACCTACTGTGATGTCCATGATAACTGGATTTAGCCTCTTCAAATCCACATTGCTCCTTCAAGGACACTGACCAAAGTCCACTGGAAACACACATAATCCACTTTGCCTAGGTTCCTGGAACACTAGACTCCAGCTAAGGCTCACAGTTGCAAACTCCCCTTAGTCTTACATAAAAATGTATATATTATCTTTAGGCACTTATAACTTGAATCACACTATAACATAATTGTTTATCTTAGCCTCCATACCAGTCTCATCTGGTGATTCTTTTGTTTTTTGTTTTGGGGGAGTTTACCGGGTGTTGTGGGTTTCTTTGTTTGGGATTCTTTGTTGTTGGTGGTGATTGGTGTCTTGTTTTGTTTTGTTTTGTTTTGTTTATTGGTTGGTTGATATGGGAAATTTAACCTAAGGGTGCTTAACCCTGAACCACATTCCCAGCCCTTTTTATTTTTATTTTTTGTTGTTGTTATTGTTTTTGTTTGAGACTGGGTCTCACTAAGTTGCTTAGAGCCTCACTAAGTTGCTGAGGCTGACTTTGAACTTATGATCCTCCTGCCTCAGCCTCCCAAGTCACTGGGATTACAGGCATGCACCACCATGCCGAACTCATCTGTTCTCAAAGCCATCTGTAATTTCTTATTTTTTACTCTTTCACAGCATCTTCAGAGTAATACTGAATTTGTATATGGGTCTCTTGGCCTCAGCATTTCTATCCCACTCCTCTCAATAAAACATTCTGGGGGCTGGGGATGTGGCTCAAGCAGAAGTGCGCTCACATGCATGCAGCCCAGGTTCGATCCTCAGCACCACATACAAAAAAAAAAAAGATGTGTCCGCTGAAAACTAAAAAAATAAATATTTTTAAAAAATTCTCTCTCTCTCTTAAAAAAAAAAAATTCTATTTTTCGTTTACAGTGACATCAATCAACCTGCCCCCATCAGTTTGTCACTTTTTTTTGTCTCTGTTCTGACAAGGAAATCAACTCCAATCTAGTGTGAATGTCTTCTATTTTTCTATTACAGGCAGACTATATTTTCCAAAAATAACTTCAAAAATATTTCCCATTGTACATGTGCTTCTAGAATCTCACCAGTCTTGCATGCAGGTAGGGTTCATTCATATGCTCCCCCCACCCTTGTGGATCTTTGTTAACTACCTCAACCCATGCAGAATAGCTAAAATGACACTATATGACTTTCTAAGCTAGGTGATAAAAGTGCCGTGGTCTTCTCTCTTATTCTAATATGGTGCTTGCACTCAGAACCCAGCCACCATGCTGTGAGGAAGCCAAAGCAGCCCACAGAAGCCTACATCTCAAAGAGTAACCAAGGCCCTGAAGCATGCTTGGCCTACATCTCAGCCTACAACCAGCACCAACTTGCCAACCATTTAAGTGAGCCTCTTTCAAAGTAGATCCCCTGTTTCCAAGCTCCCATCTGAACTTCGTTGGCTGGTACCCTGTGGAACAAAGAGGAGCTGTCCTCTCTGAGCCCTACCAAGTTGCAGATTCATGAACAACATAGTGATTATAACCCTAAACCACCGAGTTTGAGGGTATTTATTACACAGGAACAGATAACTGACACACAATCTCAAACCCAAATCTACCCTGCTCTCTAGTTGTTTTCCATGTCAATATAAACTCTTCTCTCTCCAGTATTTCTCTAGCCCCATTTCTCTAGCCCCCAAGAGAGTTTTCCCAAGACACAACAAAGTCTATCATTACTAATCATAAATTGGTATTGATTTCCCCCCATAATTTGAATATTTATTCGGTTCCTTGCTGCTTTGAAATTATCTTCAAATATTCTGGTCTCGATAAACAAAATAATGACAAACTTTCAAATTCTTTGCCAGTAGCTGCGGGCAACAGGCTCACAAACGCAGGAAAAATTCAGTGTTCTATTACAATACATGAGCAGTCAAATTAATAAGGTTTTAATTAGTTTCATCACAAAAAAAAAAAGACCTAGTCTTCTCTTTGGGTATGTCTGTCACGTTCATCACCCTAAATGGCTATTAAATGAGGCTCTAAATTTGGAAAAGGTTTATATGATTCTGTTCAGATGGCTTAGTACAATCTCATGCTCTGCCCATTTGATTTGAGTGTGGACATGGTGAAGTACACTAGAACATAAACCTTATGTTACCTATAACAGTTGGTTCCAAATCCATGAACAGTGTTCTGGGCACATGCTTCCCAGCCCTCGTCTCATGAAAGAAGGTATCAAAAGATGCATTCATGTGCTTCGTTTTAGAATTTTCCAACTGATCCTGTTGACTGTCAAGAACGATGCCATCTGGCTGGATTCCATGTTCCAGGCAATAGAGTTCCCAACAAGCATCCCCAATCTGGACGCCAGCTTGACCAATGTGAATGGAAAGGCACTCCCTCTGAAATAAGCCACAGTGAATTAGAACTGGACAGGCACTCAGACCATGAGCACCGTTGCTCAGCACTTCTAGCTACAGATGAAGCCAGCTAAAGCCCACAAGATAAATATCTTCTGATGATAATCAAAAATGTCCAATGGAAACCAAAGACCAGGGTTCATACAGCTAAACTTCAGAGACAACTGAACCATTGGCTTAAATGCTATTAGAAAGTTTATTTCAACAACATAAACTAAGTACCTATTGTACATTGGGCTAAAACTGAGTTAAGAATATATATAATCTATGTGTATGTGTATGTACACATGTGAGCATGCATGGGGAAGTGGGTATGTGTGTGTGTGTGTGCATAGTATGTGAGTGTTGGTGTCATACCAACTCACCCAGAAAAAAATTTAGCTAGTTATTGTAAAGGAATAAAACCAAAATCAATTTCCAACCTTATCAGGTATTATAAATCATCACAGACAAATAAAAGGGGTTATCTTTTCAGACCTTGAAATTTTATATTTATTGTGCATATTTGCTCTATGTAAGAAATAATAGTCTAAGCTAAAATTAGTAGAAAATTTGCCAAGGACAAAATATGATAGTTTTATCAACCCCAAAATGTAAAACTTCTTTACCATAACAAATTGATATATATAAATATGTATTATATAAAGGGCTATGTATAAATTAATTGCATATACCCTGATTTTTTAAAACTCTTAAGATATATGCTAGATAAATAGGCAAGTGGCATAAACAAATGAATTACAAAAGAGAGACCCTGAAAAACAAAGATTTTGGCACAATGTTATTCATAACATTATAATGTATAATGGTGAAAACCAAGAACCAATCTGCTCAACCATCTACTCAATCTACTTGACCATTCACCTATTGTCAGATATTTATTTAAAGAATTGTACTTCGATCAAAGAGCATATTATATAATTCTTAAATATTTACCAAAAAATAATACGTGGAAAATGCTTAGGATAAAAAATCAAGTACGAAGCATCTGAGACAAATTACTATATTTACAGGGTCTGGTGCTCTATCCATTTTTAAAAAGGCACAGAAAATGAATGCATCAAGATATTAATCCTAGTTACATCTGGATAGTAAGTAATTTTTTTCTTATCTAAATTTACTATTTTCTTCTTACCAGCTTCCATCCCATTTTTTAAATCAAACAACTTTTTTAGTAATTTAAGCAGGCAAAATTATTTACTTTTTATGAGATGAAAAGAAAAGGTTAAATCCCAGAAATCTAAAGTCACAGCAATTACTGATTTTAATATTGCTACATTTTGATTGCCAGTGGTCCTAGAACAAGTCCTTGTCAGAGAGATAAGGAGGAGCCTGTCTTCCAAATCATCAGGCCCTTCAAGCTGTCTGACCTGGTCAGCTGAGCAGATTCCACTACAAAAAGACCTTGGACCTCCCCATCAATCACTGGCCATGGTCAACACAGACCTCTTCTCAAGAGGAGAGAGCAAGTTCTGACCAGCCACACCCCTGCAATCTGACTTGGACTCTGTTCATGCTCAGCAGCCTCAAATCCTTGTACTTTGTGTCTTGGATTCAGGAGGCAAATTGCAGCCTTCTTCATGAGAAGTTCAAGCTAAGTGCTTAGGGGAACTTCCTTCTTGTTTCTTCTCTGTGTAACTATCAGTCTCATGATAAAGGCTGAGAACTTAACTTTGAAAACACCTTCTTTAGAACTAATATTCCTACTTCTATTTGGTAGATAAAAATCAAAACAACACATTCCATTGCAAACATTCTTCAAATGCCTTTATCTGCAAAGAGTTTTCATTCCTCTCCCCACCTGACAGACTTTAAATGCTATGAATACATTAGCTACTGTAATCAGATCAAAGCTTTATTCCCCAAATTTAAGTTAAAATTGAGAAAGGGGAAGAGAGTGTTCATTGTTTACACATCGTTAGAGCCTCTTAATCAGTAAAGTTTAGATGTACATTTCTCTCACTAACTCTTCCGTAGCTGTCCATCACCCTGTCCTGTACTGCACAGAAATGTGGTTGTGGCTCACAGGATTCACAGTAAAAATAATCATTAACAAAAAAAATTCATCACTGCTCTTCATGTGGTTCAAACAGAGTAATACTGTCCTTTTGTAACTCAGCAGGAGTCACTTGGATCAACAAGCCCCTTGCTTGGCTTTAGAGGAAGCTGGGTTTATAAGAGAACTGGGTCCAGGGGTGTAGAAAACCATGTTCACCTTAGTCTTCTCTTATCCTCTCCCTCCTGCTAAAATACTATTCACAATAGGAAACACTGTAAGACTGCAAAATGTCCACAAAATCTCAACACTGACAGGTCACAGCACACTAATGAATGCTGCTACCCAGCTTATTTGAATTACTAGGAAAGCATAATTTTTAATTAAACATTTAAGATTGAGATCACTGTTGATTCATATGCAGTACTAAAAAATGACACAAAAAGATTTCATGTACTCCTTAGTCATTTGTCCTCTGAGGAAATATCTTGCAAAACCATAGTAAAACATCACCCCAGAATAATAGCATTTATAGTTAAGATACAGAACATTCCATTACTAGATGTATTCCTCTTGTTGGAAGGCATAATTCTTAAGAGAAAAAAATTAATCTGTAAAATGCTGGAAAGAGAGAACAACAGGACAAGATAATTAGAGATGAAATCAGTTTTAAAGATTGCTTTAAGGACAAAAAATTCTAAGATACTTAAAATTATTCACTTCCATAGAAGAGATTACAGATGAAGTGGGCCTTAGAAGATGGTTCCCAAATAGGAAAGACAGGGAAATGCATCTGACATAGCTTTTATATATATATATATGATATATATACATATATGAATACACCATAGTAAGTCTCAACATCATGCACATCCACAGGACTGGGATCCTGATTAGAGTAAGATGTACTCCATGTTTGTATAAATATATCAAAATAGACTCTACTGTCATGAAAAACTAAAAAGGACAAAAATTTTTTAAAAGATGGTCTCAAAACAGAATTATTGTAAGCACAATATTCATTATTATACTCAAAGAAATAGAGAGCAAAGAAAGTGTCTGTGCACTTTACCCTGTCACGTATTTATGATCCTAGCAATAGTAGCCTGGGTCTGAAGTCCCCAGAGACTCCAAAGCATAAATGGAAATTAAGCAATTGATTTCTACAGAAAAATAAGCATAGTGGTTCAAAAACAAATGTAAAAACTAAAGGAGAGTTTCTTGCTTCGGTGCTTTAATACAGCAGTGAAGGATTGCAAACCAACCTACCTTCACCTTGAGAGAAGCAAAGCTACAGATGAACAGATTAGAACCTATCCAAATCTGCTTCCAACATCTAATGGGTGCTGAAAGAAACAAATGCCTATTTTAAAAGTTCTTCTCTTGTAGTAAGACTTTACTGAGAAATTTGGGTGGAGGAAAAGATGAGTAAAATTTGCCTCAGCACCAAATCAGCACTGTCAACAATGTGCAGGTACCGAGCCACTTACCATGCTGATCTGTACTTGCCCCTACTGCCCAGTGGTAATGATTGAGGAGCAATCATTTCTAGCTATGCTTTAATCACAGGACCCGGAAATGACTCCACCTGAGGGCTGCAAAGTTTTCTTCACTTAAAGCAGTACTGTCTCTTTTTAGTTCTACACTTTTCTGGTCTCAAATTCCCTGTGATGGGTTTAAACGACCAGTGATAAAGTTTGTGCCAACTGCAGGTGAGTTAATGACAGATTATCACAATCTGCTTCTATCACAGACCTATGCTGAAAATAACAAGCATCTTTAAAAATTCTCCTCTTGGGTTATGAATTCATTAACCATTGACAGGGGAAAAGAAAGAGTATAAGCAAATTTGCTGTGATAGCAAATCAGCTTTTCTTATTACCTGAGTGCTTTTTGAATAGCTTCTCTTCAACAAGTCAAAAGATCCTAAATATATAGAGCAAACCAAAAAATGTCTACCTCTCACTCATGCATGTCCACCACCATGTGATGTTTTATTAATTGTATTAAGATCAAAAAACATTTTAAGTGATTTCTCTCTTTATATATTTGTTACAATTTCCTTTATATTCTGCCATATGGTACATTTTTGAAAATGTTTCATGAATGCCTAAAAAGAATGTGTATTAAACAGTTGTTTACAATAGTGTTTGAGACAGGTAAGATCAATAAATAGATCTATTAAGTCACACTGATTTATTGTGTAGTCCAAATTTTCGGTATCAATTATTTTAAAAGATGTGTCAAAATTTTTGCTATGATTATGAATTCATCTACCATTTCTTTTTCTGTCAAATTTTGCTTGATGTATTTTGAGACTATGTCATCAAGAGCATATAAATTTTAAATTAATAATTTCTGTGGAACTGAAACATTATTTTGAATCACCATTGGTACTAATAATTTTTGCTTTAAAATCTCTGTGATAAAATATTAATATCACTATTTAAATATAATTTGTGGATAGTATTCAAACATTTTCTTTTGGTACTCAATAATATATGTGTGCCTCTTGCAATTATTTGAATGGCATAAAGAGAAAACATTGAGGTCTTCTTTCCTTTTTTTGGTGCTTGGAGTTGAACCCAGAGCCCTGTGCAAGCACTCTACCAACTGAGCTATATCCCCAGCCCAAGGTCTTCCTAAGAAAGAAGAAATTTCTGCTATGTATGACAACTTCTGTTTCAGCACCAACTCAAGAATTTTCCAGCCTGCCCACTTACCTTTGGGATCTCAGTTTCTAGAGATCTGAGATGGATGGATATATATGCACTATATATATCCATATATATGCACACATATATGCACTACTGGTTCAGCCACACTTGATAGCTGTTCTTGGGTCTTGAAAAAATGAAAAAATTTCCATGTGATAAAAAAAAAATGTGACGTTTACAATTAGGATTCCCTTTCTTTTCAAAGTTCCTTCCTGAAATATTACTCAGTGAATAGGTCAGTCAATCCACTTGCCAATTCACTGGCTAAGAAAGAAAACCTTGTCAGCAAGGAATATTTTTGTTTTTAAAATTATTTTTATCAATATTCTGAGGTTTCTGAAGTTCTCTTTGAAAATTCTCTATTGGCAATCCTGGAAGCAACCCAAATCACTGTTTACTGTTATTCCCTCCCATCAAGCCAAACCCTTCCCTTTTCCTCCTCCATCCTTCCTTCCCACTAGGAACACCATTCTGACTTTTAAATCTTCTGTGATCTCTTAATAAGATGATATAATCATAAAAAAATAATTTCAGTGTACTTCTGATCAATAGTGCCTTCTCTGGTCACACACTTATATTGTTAACTTTTGAGTCATCTTCTCTAAAACCAACAGCTAACACCCTATCTCTGGAATTTTAGTTTTCCTCATTGAAATATCTGAAAGCAGACCAACACAGTAATTATACGATAGGTAGGTAGGTAGGTAGGTAGGTAGGTAGATAGATAGATATAAGAAAAACAACCTCCTAAGCCACACGTGATAGATTTTAAAAGATAACAAACCTGATTTCAAATATACTGCTTCATCGTGCCTATACATCATATACTTTTGTTTCTTAGAGATAACTGAAATTTTTCCTTGTAAGATAATTACCACAAAGGTGACCTTCCCATTGGTAGCATAAGAAAAATAATAGGTCCGGTATCTTTAAAGCATTCTTCTAATTCTGATATTTCTGCAAATATGAGTCTGAAGATTTGATGAAAGAACTGAAGTATCTAAAATGTAGAGTGGTAAATCAGATTGTTGGGATGGCAGAAGAAAAAGGAAGAAATGGGCATTTCCAGTATTTTCCCTATGAAGCCCAAGTTATATACAGCTGGCACAAACTAGTATAAGCTTACTGGTTGTTAGAAAAAATAATAATAAATTACTTTTGTACTAGTTGGTAACTACTTTTCTGTGTCCCCTAAGTTTGCCCCACCTTCCCAGTCCCACCCCACCCTTTGGGGTCTCCCCTACCCCACAATCCAGAAACTAAAGAGTGCCTGGCTCAATATCTGGGTCAGTGTTATCCTAAAAGTCCAGGCTCCAGGGCCCTCAACAGCTTCTCCTAGGAATCCCAGGTGGTAAGGAATGCCCACCCAATCTTAGGCAGTCCAGGAGGTACCACTGAGCACATCAGCCAAGTCTTCTGCTTTAGGCACATGAACTCCCACCATTGTGTATCTCCCCAGCATGGCAGGCTCTGGAAGTCCAGTAACAAACACCAGGTTCAGACCTCCCAGACCCATAGCCATCTAACTCTACTGGCAGTATCTCAGGATATTGTCACATGGTTTTGTACAGGAGTTGTAACTTTCACTATAGGAATCGAATTTTACCTCCATTTTATGGATGAATTTTTAATACCCACCCAATTCCCACCCTTCACTTGTAACAACTTGAATTTTGTTCATGGCATTGAGAGCTAAGGCAGCACAGGTCTGACTATGCCAATGATTCTTTTAAAGGTATATTAACTCACTGCAGTACTATAAGTATAGTTATCATGACCCCTGCCCCCCATAAACATTTTACAAGGACACTGATAGGCAGGGAAGTTGCTTAAACCTTGAGTAGGTAAGCCAGGATTTGAATCACCACCTCCTGATGAGAGCCACATACTTAACTATTGGACTACAATGTCTTCCATTTGGCAGAAGCAATTAAGTTTGGACACAACTAAAAATTAGTCTAATAAACATTTTCATAACAATAATAGAGATACTAAATGTATTTTTTTATTTTTAAAATTATTACATCATAGGTACTTATACCCACGCGCATATATACACATTCATTCTCTTGAGGGTAATTGCTATGAATTTATCGAAAGAGTATTCAAAACAAAAAGAAAAAATTATTGATGATATAAAGAGAAATTTCCTAGTTATTAAGACTACTAGTTCCCTAATAGGAAAGTCTTTGTTCATAAATTTATTTCATTTCTCTATGTAATTTCAAGCTCCATTTAGCTAGTGATAATGGCAAACAAAACATTACACCAAAATCAACAAATAATTAGAAAATTATTGGATTGGATTTGATAAATGCTTTGCACTATAAGATATATATCCCTTGATCAGCAGTTTTGTAAAACTAGTGTTTAATTTATATAAGGAATAGATTTTATCATTTATTACATATTAATTTATATTAGTGTGCTAGTTGTTTAATATATTTAAAATTAATCTGCCTAAAAATTTCAATCAAATGCATATGGCTAAAAATTTTGGAAATCCTCCAAGAGAATATTTCTAAATCTATGATCATTAATCGACACTTAAAGAAATCTGGGCCCAATAAAGTTAATGATAGCATTTGCTCAAGGAGAGAGATCTGGACAGATTTTATACACATATATGAAAGCTGAAATCTAATTAATTTCCTAATCCCTGACCTGAAGAGTATGTGAAGGGAAAGGGATGATTTGCATGGAACTGAGAAAATAAGGATTCAGAGAATATTTGTCATGTATTGAGTATTCGAGGCAGAGTAAGACACTGAATTTGGGAATAGGCATATTCAGACACCAGTAAGTTGATCTCCTGTAGGACCAGGAGACTTTACCAGCCTTTTCTAGGTTTTCAATGACCAATCCTCAGTAAAGTCCACTTTCCTTTGTTCTGCTTCTATGGTGCCCAGCAATTTTCTGCTTAAAAATTGTCTTCTATTCCTGACTTCCTGCCTTACTATCTGGCCCAGTACTTGTAATATTATTGTAGGAATTCAATACACAATTGTGAATAATTGAACAAAATAGTAAGTTCCCAAATGAATATAAATTTGGAAAGCATTTCCCCACCTAAAACAACAGTATTCTGATCACAGGAAAGTCCCTCCTGCTAAATCATTCCACATGAACATCAACATCCTGGAGTATCTATCACTTTGACAGTGATTGTTACAGGTTCCAAAAGGATGGGCCACCTCTCATTACACCACCAAAACCAGTTTCAGGACCTGCAGAACTGAGGACAAACTCTGACTTCTAAGGATCTCACCTGTTCCTGTGGGTAAAAATGTGGTTTTGTCCAAATATCTGCATCCTATAAAGCTCTATCTGGGATTACAGTCTGTATTATTATAATGTAACTGTACTAAAATAGTACTTCCTTCTTTATTTTTTTTTTTAGAGAGAGAGAGAGAAATTATTTAATATTTATTTTTTAGTTTTCGGTGGACACAACATCTTTATTTTTATGTGGTGCTGAGGATCGAACCCAGCGCCCAGCACATGCCAGGTAAGCGTGTTACCACTTGAGCCACATCCCCAGCCCACTTTAATTCTGAGGGAAGAGTAGGTGGGGTAAAGGTGTTTGTTAGTGAAGGATATCCTACTCCCTAACTTCTTATCCTTTTCAAAACTAAAGCATTTTCCCCTTGTGTTGTAAAGGTAATACAAGTTCAGTATCTCACTCTTTTCAAAAAAGTATTCAACATAAGAAAGTAAAATTAAAAATGTTTTAAATGCCCAAAAGTCTGACACCTACAGACATCTTCGTACACTGACTTCATCTTTTCCCTCTGTGTAATATCTTGCAATTCATGACTCTGAATATACTGAATACACCTTCATGTTCCATGTTTTTTACTGAAAATTACAATGTATTATTCTATTACACGTCCCAATTTATTTTTATTGGCTGAAACTACTATTTCCAGTAGATGAGCCAGAATTGTCAATTCTCCTATCATTGTTTGGTTTAGTTGTCTTTAATTTTTCTATTATAACAACAATGTCATTAATATATCTTCAAGTACAGATAATTTTATTTCTTGGGATAAATTCCAAGAAATGGAATTATAGTGCCAAATAAGAGAAAATTTTTAAAGACTTTAACACATGCAGTACAATATTTAAAATCAAAAAACATGTTCATTTGTTTCACAATCGTCTTCTTGAGAGGATCCTTTATTTTATTTACTAGTTCCTTTAGCTGCCTTCTTAGACACAAAGAAGTCTGTGTCTCCTAGCATAGGGCTCATAACTAGATTTCACTGGTTTCCTAGAGACAGCCCGGGTTTCCAGAGACAGTTCCATGATCTTTGGCAATTGGGGATATATCTCACAAGAATAATTTAGTCTGTGTATAGTCAATAACCAAGCTTCAGAATAGGTCATTACTTACAACCTCTATCCTCCCTGAACGCTAATGAAGATCTAATGACTTGAAATGCTTCCAGTCCATTTGCCTTGGACTGCAGTGAAAGTGCTAATAAACAGTGAAAGAAGTACTAGGGGATTGAGAAATACAGTCGGAATGAAATCCAAGCTTTCCCAATTCCCATCCAGTCTTTCTTCCCTCCCTTTCCCTGGGCGCCTTCAGGTCTGGCAGTGGAGGGGGCGGGACTCCTCGTCCCCTAGCAACCGTCGCCTGCTCCTGATTGGGTGATCGCTGCGCAGCCGCCATTTTCAAATCCCCGGATGATGGTGGTGGTGGTGGCTCTCTAACAGGCACTTGCTGCCTCATAGAAGCGGCGGGCACTGTGCCCGTCCCTGTCGGTCTCCCGGGCACCCGGCCACCGCCCCACCCCCTCTTCCACGACATGGAGCTAGAGCCGGCGGCTCAGAAGCAGCCCCGGCCGCGGAGGCGAAGCCGCCGGGCCTCCGTACTCAACGGGGATGGCGCCGCGGGTCCTTCGGCCGACACCCCACGGCCGGAGCTGGACGGGAGGTGAGCGCGAGGTCCTGCGGAGGATGTGGGCCTAGGCCGGGGGTGGGGAGCAAGGCACGGGTTCCCGGGGGCCGAGTGCGGTGGGCAGCCCGAGCGACGGAGGGCTCGGCCTGGAGCTGACGTCCGTGAGGCCCCGACTGCGGCTGCCCAGCCCTGCGAGGAGGGGCGGGCTTGTTGACACTCTCCTCCTGGCCCTTCCCAGAGGCAGAGGAATAGCCACCCTGGTTCTGTGCTCCACAGCTGATTGGTCGTGGGCTGCAGATGCTCCGACCAAAACTCTCACGTAGTTTGAACCTAAAAGCGAGTTTTTCAGTAAAACGTTTTTCGGAAGCCAGAATCCTCTTTGCATGTCGGAGTCTGGAAAGGATAGACCCTAGACTAGGGTTTCAGAAAGCTGTATCTGGAAGAGGAGTCATGTAAAAAAATAATGAAGACGTTGCTTTCCATTGCAATGCGGTTGGTTCCAATTACAAATTGAATGACCTTGGTTGAGTTGCTTACTACCTCTTAATATCTCTGCACAGTGCATTATAATAGTACCCAAGGGCCATGTGAAATTTAGTGAATGTAAAGTGCTTAGAATGTGCCTGTACACAAAAAAACTGTTAACTTACTTGTCCTGTTAACTGTCATTTGTCTGGTTTATATCTATAAAAATAGTGATTCCTGTCTACTCCATCTTTTCAGAAGTCCCTGTTGTTCACGAACATTATTTTAGATAAACTGCAGTCCTTTATATAACTTACATTCCCGTCAGGCTTGGATATGTCAATCCCTTTTTGAGAAATAGGGGGAAAAAACACTTAGTTTCAGCAACAAA